TCTGCCTACCCCTTCGGGGATAAAAGGCGTGATGTTATGTTATTTTATTTTGTTAATGTGACAACTTTTTTGTGTTTGGTCACGTTGTTCATTTGATTGCTTAGAAAGCCTGTAGTGTAGAATATTATTTTCGTTTAAGCTACGAATTATGGGTTAAAAATATTACGATCTAAACAAATGTCCTTTTTGTTTTTATAATAACTATCGTGAGACATACTAAATTAAGTAAAAACGCGGGTTACTCTGCTGCTCATGAGGAAGAACCCCTCTGTGGTTCGAAACTAGTAGAGCTTTTCTCAGTATATTCACGTGAGTAACCCGCGTTTTTACTTAAATGTCCTTTTTGTCGTATCCTTCCGAAATAAAAATCTTACGATGGCGATACATTGACTGTGTCAATTTGAAATTGATGCCATGAGGTTACTTCTAAAGACAAAATATTTTTTAATAGTGACGCAACAAATCCTGACGTCTATGAACAACGTTTTATTACAACAAATAAAAATAAATAACCCTCGTTTTTAAACGCTTAACAATTTTCGATATTTGACAAAAGCCTTTTTTTGTTTTAAGGGGGGAAAATCATCGAATGATTTATCCCGCCTGGGTGAGGCGGGAGGGAGTGTCAGACTCTTACTGACTATAAACCACCCCGTTCCTTCTCCTGCACGTCGAGCCGGAGCCCCGGTTACCCCTTAGGTTCTCCGCGACTTGACAAAAGCCTATAACGAATGATTTGTTTAGTATTATAGTATTAATACTTAAATCGAACTATAAATATAACCAATCCCCTAACCGTCCTTCTCTAATTGTTCCAGAAGATGCCAGTCAAAAACGTCAGCGTCCTCGCGACATGTCTCTTGCGGAGCCACCACACACCATGGAGATAGCACAGATCCTGATATCATTGCTCCACGCGTGGGGCCTAGACCCAGACCTGGACAGGGTCTGCGAGTCGAAGCTTGGATTGTTGAGGCCTATGGTATGTACTTTCTAGTATTATTATTCGCCCGTGAAGAAGAATTCATGTTTTATAAATACAATAGGGCTGATGACAAGGTATGAAAATTAAAAATATAATTAGTCCGTCAGTTAGGTAATGAAAAAATATTAGACACGTGATTTTTAATTTGTCGTATAAGAAAACATACGGCTACGTCATTTTATAGTAGGTATAAATCGTACTCAAAAGTGACGTCATGCGATGTTTCAAATGAATATATCTCCGAAAATATTCGTTTCCATAAGAAAATAAAAAATACATGTCTAATATTTGTAAATAATCTACCAGATGGACAATAAAATAAAAAATAGGCATTTACTCCGTTGAAAGTCAAAGTCGAAATCATTTATGTCAATTAAAGCAGAAAGGCACTTTTGAACGTCAACAAAAAAAAATAAAAATGAAGCTATTTGTTCATTCCAAGGTAGTAGATTCCTATGGAGAAGAACGAGCAAGAAACTCCATAGGTTACTCTTTTTCAATCAGGTTCACAATACAATTCTCTAGTTACATAGTTTTTTGATTGAAGGGTTTGTCATTCGACGTGAAGGACTAAGGGGGAGGCTTTTGGTACAATAATGGATGTCATACAACTGATGATAATGATGATGACTAAATCACTGCGTAGCGTGATTCCAAAAAATTTGTATCTGAACATTGTGCTAGAGTTTGCTGTAGATGATCTAGACTTTTGATTTTTAAACGTTGAGGTTTATCAGAGTACACTATAGTAACATGGTTTCAATTAGTCGTCTCTTACGGCAGTCGCTGGAAAATTAGGGAGTCTCTAGACGCTACAATATTTGTAAATTACTGCACCTTAATCTGGCTTTATTGGCTTAAATCAGAAGAAATATATATTTCCAAAAACTGTTGCCTTTGACTGCCGACAGAAAACTGCTGAAGGCAAATCTTCCGCTAACGTAGGTCACCGGTGACCTACGCAGCGGTTAACGTGTTAATATTTAAAAAGTCCACCGCATACCGACTTCTATTTCGAATTTTCTACTAAAACACCATATAATTTCAGGTACCAGTCTGCTTCGGTGTGGTCTCCCGCCATGGTCACATGGCTGTCCAGCTCCCTACATGGCTCGGTAGCTGGTCCGCCGCCTGCGCTTCAGCTCCTGACGACCCGTTACTCATCACTTCAGATCTTCCACCTGAGCTTGTTCGCCAGGAGAAGTTGACCAGGTTAGCTTAAAGATGAAGATGGTTCTTGAAAGATGTTGGTATACAGGCCTTAGTATGAGTTTGTATCGAAATGCGTTCGGATTGATTGATTCCTTAGAGCCGAAAATTAAGAGCGTCGAACGTCTCCTCGTTTCGATTTCATAACACAACATTACGCCTTTTATCCCCAAAGGGGAAGGCAGAGGTGCACATTATGCTACTGTACAATGTAACCCTCACTTTCCACTATTTATGTTAAAGTCCCATGTATTAGGGGGTGAGCCTATTGCCATATACCGGGCACAAGTCCAGACCGTGCTACTACTAAGAATTTATAAAAAACCCAGTAATACTTCTCCCGACCCGGGAATCGAACCCGAGACCTCTTGCCGAGTCGCACTTGCGACCACTCTGCCAATGAGGCAGTCGTTTTGATAGCTTCAAATGTAAAACAAATTTGAACTGAGGCCTCAGGATGTAATGTTTAAGTATCGGATTTCAGATACGGATTTCAGATCGAAATTCCGATCATTTATGTGTTACGTTAAACATTAATAACAATGATGTAAAGAATTTGATTTTAAACCTTTCAACGATTAATCTGTATGTTTTTAATCTAGTTCTTACTTATATGTAATTAATGCGCTATTTGTGTGTTATTTTTTATGTCATAAGCCGGTAAACGAGCTGACGGATCACCTGATGGTAAGCAATCGGCGTCGCCCATGGACACCTGGAACATTAGAGGAGTTACAACTGCGTTGCCGGCCTCTTGGGGATTAGGAATTTCAGGATTGTTGTGGGTTCGGCGATTGGGGACGGTAATTAGGCCTCCAGTAACCTCACTCACACAACGAAACATAACGCAAGCGTTGTTTCACGTCGGTTTTCTGCTCGGCCCTGGTATCACTGCAGTCGAGCTGGCCCATTCGTGCCGAAGTATGACCCTCCCACACGTAAGGCATGATTACTGTGAATTTCACAAAACCGAAAACCTTACACTTCTTAGCCTGACAAACCCCCTTCATCAAGAGCCATACTTTTTATGGTATGGCTTAAGCCGGTAAACGAGCTGACAGATCACCTGATGGTAAGCAATCGGCGTCGCCTATGGACTCCAGGAACACCAGAAGCGTTACAAGTGCGTTACCGGCCTTTTAGGGATTAGGAGTTTGAGGATCGTTGGGGATTTAGGCATTGGGGAGATAGGGGAAGGGGAGGGTAATTGGGCCCCCGATAACCTCACTCACACGACGAAACACAACGCAAGCATTGCTTCACGTCGGTTATCTGTAAGGCTGTGATATGACTCCGATCGAGCCGGCCCCTTCGTGCTGAAGCATGGCTCTCCCACACTCATCTAATCATCTTTCATTTTATTTCCAGATTATTCTCATCGAAGCTCCACTGGGAGTTGAGCACGACGCTGACAACGAACCACCTGCTCTCCATCGTGGCTCTAGCCAACACACTCATGTCGATGAGCAACGCCAGCTTTGTGCCTGAACAAGAAGTCATTCGAAGATTACACAGGTGAATACCTATTCAATTTCATCAACAGCCTATAATGCCCACTACTGGGCAAAGCCTCTTCTCACACGGAGAAGGGTTGAGCATTAATCACTACGCTTGCTCATTGCGGGTTGACGATTCCAAACTTATAATCAGAAATTATAAGCCCAGGTTTCCTCCCGATGTTTTCCTTCACCGTTGGTCAGTGGTGTCTGAATAAACCGATTGTCAGTGGTGGCTCGAAGGTTAAGACGCCCGCTTCTCATGAATGAGGGTACAGGTTCGAAACCTACCAACGGCAAGTACCAATGTGGCTTTTTCCGAGTTATATGTAGGAGTTATATTGAGGACTTTTTAAAAACCAGTAATACTTTGTCCGACCCGGGAATCGAATCCGAGACCCCTTGCTCAGCAGCCACTTTCACATTTTGTAATATACATATAAATTTGGATCTTGCACTCCTTTGCTCGACCGTTTTTACATTTCTACCGGGACCTCTTGTCCCCAGACCCTCAACCAGGAACTCCTCATCATGGGCAGCAGACGAGGAGAGGGAGGAACAGCTGGCCGCCCAGCAGGCCCACATCAAGCAAGGATGGTCTCTATTGGCCACGCTACACTGTGTATTGTTGCCTGACAAGGTTGTCGCTGCAGGTTGGCGTATTTTAAATGAATTTGAAGTTTATAGTTTGCATGATTTATTGATATTTTTGACCTATCTAAGATAGAGATAGTACTGAGATTTTTGCCTCATTTGGCTTTATTTGGCGGGTTCACGTTTGTCCACTATCTCGCCTGAAGGTAAGCGATGGTGCCGCCACGATGGAGCACGTCGTCCCATAAGCAACCTATTCACTCGGGTCTTGAAGACACCCAGGTTATACCCTTCAGGAAATACATAATTTTATCTCGTCTTATGGCTGCGTAAACAACATAACGTCGTACGAGAATCGAACCCACTGTAAAGGAGAACTATTTTACTGGTTATTTAGTTCCATGTAGTAAGGGATGACAACCGTCTCGTCTAACACCGAACACAATAGGGTAGATGACTAATTTTTATTTTAATGTCCGTCTGGTAGATTATTTTAAATCATTAGACACGTATTTTTTATTTTCTTACAGAAACGAATACTTTCGACGATATATTGATTTGAAATGTCGCGTGACGTCACTTCTCAGTACATTTTATACTAAGAAATGATGTTTTAGCCCCCACTCCTAAACTTTGATTCGTTTTATCTAATTATTGTTTTATTATACGACAAAAGAAAAAAATACGTGTCTAATATTTTTTAATTACCTAATTTATGGACTAATTATATTTTTAATTTTTATACCCTGTCATCATCCCCATTACTGAATTTGAATATTGCAGAGTTTCAATCGGGAATCGACCTTCAGACTCTTAACTTTTAGGCTCTTAACTCTCTTAACTCGGCCTAGTTTAGATGTTAGTATTCATAAACTGTGTGTCTCATGTTTTTATTACAATGAACACTTTTTATTATTGTTTTATTATTACTTTGCACTCAACAAGATAGACTTTCAATATAATCATAAACTATGTATAAAAGTTATATATTTCTAACAGGAGCGAAGAGTTTCAAGCGTCCACAAGTGGAGATGTTGGCTCGACGCTGGCAACATCACTGTCTGGAGGTACGAGAAGCTGCGCAGGCGCTGCTACTGGCTGAACTTGGCAGGTAACGCATTTTAAAAGTAATCATTCATTAACTTTTAAATATTTTAGTTTCAGATAATCGCGAACAATTAGGTCGAAATGAGAATCTCTTTTTTTTCTTTTTGACGCCGTTTAAAAAGAATTCGCTCAGTAGTTCTAATTATCCCCCCCCCTCTCTTCCCCAATCTCCTCAATCCCTGAATCCCCAACGATCCTCAAACTACTAATCCCCAAAAGGCTGGTAACGCACTTGTAACGCCTCTGATGTTCCAGTTGTCCATGGGTGACGCCGATTGCTTACTATCAGATGATCCGTCTGCTCGTTTACCGGCTTATGCCATAAAAAAGATACAAGACACAATAGAAAATAAATTGTGTCTCGCGTGGATCCACGTTTAGACAAACGACCAGTTAATTGAAATAAATACTTTGACTTTGTCATCTCCAGACTTGGTCCGAAGGGCCGCAAGACGCTGGTGGACAACTGGGCACAGTTCCTCCCTCTGTACACGCACACAGAGAGCATCAACCCACACGCGGCGCACAAGGAACCGGCAGAGAAGATACAGCAAGTTGTAAGTTATACATTTTATTTATTTATTATTAAGGGAAACAACAGCTGTAATATGAGGATAGTGGCCATTAAATATGAACATTAAAACTGTAATTATTTATTTTATTTAACACTTTTTGTACAAATGTATACAATGGCGGACTTAATGCCGAATGGCATTCTCTACCAGCCAACCATAGGGTGATGCAAAGAAGTGTTACAGTAGGTTTTAAACGAAGTTTGCATTTATTGAAAATTGAAAAAAACGAAGGTGATAAATGTACGTATATATAAAGGTATCCCAGTACATAAACTACATACCTACATACTAATATGAAACATAAATATAATATGTAAATAATTATAAATATATATTTTAATATAAACCCATTATATATTTCCTCGTCAGAAACATAAAGTTTCTGACTTGATTGTGTCAGTTTTTTCGGTAGATATTCAGTGACTTCAAATTTAAAGGATAGCCGACTGGAGATTTAAGGACTAATTAGTCCGTCAGTTAGATAAAGAAAAAATATTAGACACTTATGTTTTTCAAAACTAGTAGAGGTTTTCTCATTTCCCATTATGTTCACGTGAGTAACCCGCGATTTTTAGTTAATTTAGTATATCCATAAACTCTTAATTCTTCTCCTTACAGCAAGAAGAAGAGTTTGAAGAAGAAGAAGAGGAGATAATCCGCAAGCCGTCTTCTCTCGCAGAGCTGAAACGCAAGCAGACCACTGCGGTCGTACTCTTGGGTGTCATTGGAGCTGAGTTTGGCCAGGATATTACTAGTGAAGGTAGATTATTGCAATTTATATATATATATATATATAACTATGTTCTTGGCTTATTTCACTGTTTTTTTATGGCATAAGCCGGTTAACGAGCAGACGGATCACCTGATGGTAAGCAATCGGTGTCGCTCATGGACACCTGGAACACCTGGGCCTTTAGCCAAACGCCATTTTAGCGCTTGTCTACAGAGAGAGTAGAAATCAAAATGTATGGGGATGACGCTGACAAGTGTCAAAATTTACGTCAATTCCATATAATTTGGTTTTCTATTCTACATGTAGACAAGCGCTAAATGGCATTTGGCTACAGCTGCTGAGGCGTTACAAGAGCGTTATCGGCCTTTTGAGGAGGATTGTTGGGGTTTCAGTGAGAACCATATAGTTCTTTTTATCTGTTACTCCTTTTTAAAATTCCGGCCACGCGCCTGTGACTCCTCTGGTGTTGCGGGTGTCCATGGGCGACGCTAATCGCTTACCATCAGGTGATTCGTCTGCTCGTTTGACTCTTATTCCATAAACAACATGTAATGCATTTATGTAAACTGACTTCTCCATTATATATATCTAAACTGCTAACAGAAAGTACTATTTATTCTTATCTTTTCATTTATGTCTGCTTACCCCTCCATGGGCTATAGCATATTATGATTTGCATATATTTGCTTGCTTTGTTCAAGGCGCTGCTGGCAATAAGAGGCGTAAGGATGGAGACAGTCGGAAGAGCTCCGTGGTCGAAGGTAAGTTATATAATCATGCTAATGGCTTCTGCCTGCGACATTGCAATAGGTATAGGGTAATTTCCTGAATGAAAAATGAATTATTTCGACTGTCCAATACAATAAAATATTTAAAAAACAATCACACTTTCATTAATTGATTTTATGACCGACTTAATTTTAGTATTTTTCTAGCAATTTTTAAGAGAAATAAGTATGCTGTTTGACGCTAAAAAAACGTGACGTCACAATACACAATCTCGTACAAAATTCATAGAAAACTGTCGTTTTTGACAGTTCGAAAAAAGTATTGAATTTGACTAGTTGGCAAGTATACAATTAATTTGTTAAGTAATTAATTAAGAAGGGGGATTGAAGATGGTTGCAAAATATCGGTACAACACCCATGGACACCTTTAACACCAGAGGCGTTACAAGTGCGTTACCGGCCTGTTGAGGATTAGGAGTTTGAAGATCGTTGGGGACTCAGGAATTGGGGAGATTGGGGAAGGGGAGGGTAATTGGGCCTCCGGTAACCTCACTCACACGACGAAACACAACGCAAGCGTTGCTTCACGTCGGTTTTCTGTGAGGCCGTGGTATCACTCTGATCGAGCCGGCCCATTCGTGCCGAAGCATGGTTCTCCCATTATAATACACACTAATAAAATATATCTTTTTTCCAGGCTTCACTTTAAGCTCATCAAATAACCTAGCCCGTCTGACGGCGCTAGCGCTAACCCATCTACTTCTAAGCCCGGCCTGCCCGCGCTTACCCGCGCACACTCCGCTGCGGCGCGCGGCCGTGGACCTGCTGGGACGTGGGTTCACTGTCTGGGAACCGTATTTGGATGTCAGCCATGTGCTTCTAGGTAAGATTAGTCAAATAGTGATGATAATATATTTTAATGTAACACCCACTTTTCACTATTTATGTTATGAGTCCCATATAATAGGGGGTGAGCCTATTGCCATATGCCAAGCACAATTCCAGACTATGTGCTAATACTAAATGTTTTTAAAAACCCAGTAGTACTTTGCCTGAGCTGGGAATCGAACTCGAGACTCCTTGCCCGGCAGTCGCACTTGCGACCACTCGGCCAACGAGGCAGTAATCTTATATACTTATTGTATAAAGCTCCATAGTTTGTTTGTTTGTTTGAACGCGCTAATCTCAGAAACCACTGGACCGATTTGGAAAATCTTTTTGTGTTGGATTATCCATTCATCAAGGAAGGCTATAGGCTATAAAACATTACGCTACGATTAATAAGCGTCGCATAAAGCGGGTGAAATGGCTAATGATTCAAACAATTATTTCAGTAACTTTATAAATGCTTTTACAATTCCCAGGTCTGCTGGAGATGTGTTGCGACGCGGACAAGTTGGTCCCGTCGATGACGTACGGCCTGCCGCTGACGCCGCAGGCAGACTCCTGCCGGACGGCCAGGCACGCACTCACGCTCATCGCCACCGCCAGGTACTGCCAGACTACATATTTTTGGATCTCTTTAATTTTAACAATTTTTGTTACCGTTACAGAAGCTTTCCCATTGCCTTTTGCGTTTTTCAGAACTTTTGTAACATGTTCATTTAAATTCTGTGGGGATCGCCTATTATAACAATTATTTTAATAAAAGCGATGTCAACTAATTTTTGTATTGTAACTTTCGTGAGACCTACTGAATAAATTATGTTTTCGGCTTACTTACGTAATAATTTGACGAGGAACTCGACTAGTTAGTAGCAGCGCGACAGTCGCCGCGTCGCGGGTCGCAAAATGCTGCTCATGAATATGAGCCTGTAGCATGGCTTGCAACTAGTCGAGTTCCTCGTCAAATTATTACGTGAGTAAGCCGAAAACATAATAATTTATTAACTAATTTTGAATTATAATACATATTTTTTGTTTTTTTTTTTACGCAATTATGATGTCCCCATTTTACTACATTTAGCGTGTGGTTGCGTATCGACCTTCCACTCCTAAACTTTAATCGTATCGTAATCGTTTGATCTAAGTATTGTGTCTAATATTTTTTCATTGACACATCTATCTGATGGACCAGATAGATTTTTTATTTTTATACCCCGTTATCATCTTTATTTCAAAAGCCCCTCCCGTTGCCGTGTGTCATTCTTATATTTTTTTTAAGTTTATGATCACATTCTCCCTAAATCCCTCAGACCCGCGGCGTTCATAACGACGATGGCCCGCGAGGTGGCGCGCTGCGCGGCGGCGGCGCAGTCGGGGCAGCCGTCGGCCGCCTACCTCGCGCTGCACAAGGGCCGCGCCGAGGTCCTGCGCGGCATCGAACTACTCATCGACCGCATGCACAACGAGGTCGCCGAGCTACTCGTCGAGGTCATACATTTATTTATTAATTAGAAAACCCACAGCTACACATGACAAACAAATAGATAATAAAATAACACCAGAAAGCCAATTTCAGGTTTTCACGGATATATTTATAGGTTTTTTTTATAGTGTGTGTTTGTGTTCGTGTGTGTGTGAGAGAGAGAGAGAGAAAGAGAGAGAGAGAAATCGAAACTACCAAGGCAATAAAAGGTCCAATAATTTTCAATTCTTTTTAATAATAATAATAATAAAGGTTTTTATTCGGACAACAAATAATCCACTTTTGTTAGTACCTTACATGCTAAACTTAAACACTAGGATTAGTAATAATTACAATTATATTTGGCAACTTTAAAATCAGTGCGTCATGTACTTACGAGGCTCCTCAGAAGGACAATGATTCCTCATGAGATGCCTCAGTACAGGAGCTCTCGGGTCCTCGGCAATGACTTTCAGGATGCTGTTGTCACTCCCCCGGATCCTTCTCACAAGCGATGCCACCTTTTTTCTGATGATCGCATGAAAACTATCTGTATGCGATTGAGCAAACATCCCCGAGGCACTACAGAAACGCGGGAGTTTCAACATCATCCTGAAAACATTATTGTATTGGACGCGCAAGGCGCCTAGCGTTCCACGCGAACAGCTGAACCACAGACTTCCCGCATACAGGCCTTGGCAGTACGCTTTAAACAAAGTTATTTTTACCTGATCGGTACAACGAAAAAATCTGCGCGACAACATGTTCCCGCGAACCGCCAGCGCCCTGCGCTCCCTCTCCACGTCCTCATCGTCCTTAAGGTCGTCGACAAGTATATGTCCCAAATATTTGAACTTCGTTACCTGCTTTATACTAGAGCCATTCAAAGTTATTGAAGGAAAGGAGTCAGGGCACTTGCCGGCAGCCCCAAAGACCATGAATTGTGTTTTCCTTACGTTATATATAAGACCATGTGATGCGGCGTATTCCTCGCAAACTTTGAGCATCCCCCTAATTGACCTCGCAGTCGGGCCCAGCAGCACCATATCGTCCGCATAGCTGATGTTGTTCACACAGACACCCCCCACCCGGCATCCGACACGCATGCCACTGAGCCCGACTATGAGGTCATTTATGTACAAGTTAAACAGCTTTGGAGAAGACAATCCCCCCTGTCTCACTCCGCACTCCAACCTGTACGACTTTGAAAGACAGTTTGACCACCTGACACAGTTAGTCTGATTCGAGTACCAGTATTGAAACAGTTTCAATAGTTCCGCAGGTATACCCCCATCCCCCAGCTTCCCCCAAAGCACTTCATATGAAACGAGATCGAAGGCCTTGGAGAGATCCAAGAAACAGGCATACACCGGGGTCTTCCGTTCAGTATAGTACTGGACAGTGTGCTTAAGTGCCAGGATCGCGCTTTCAGTTGACAGTCCAGGCCTAAACCCGAACTGAGCGTCATGTATATTTATGTAGTTATCCAGACACGTTTTTGCACATATTCTGAAATTATGCTCGTTGTGTGACAATAGGCTAAATCCCCTATTACATACAACTCAACATAAATAGTACAAAATAAAAAATATAGCTAAGAATCTGAATTATACACACTTATAATAATACGGTAGTTGACAACTAGTCAAATTCAATACTTTTATCGAAACGTCAAAAATGATACTGTTGTGACGTCATCAACTTATGACGTCGTCATATTTTCGCGACAAATAGCACACTTATACCTAATAACAATGCTAGAATAAATCGAAAATTAAGCATATCCGCAAATCAATGAATGAAAGTGTAACTATTTTTCAATATGTAATGGGACTGAAAAATCTAAATAATTTATTTTTGTCCTAGTAAACTACTCAATTGATGTATCATCATGACACTTGCTAATTGTATGTAGATTCTACCTAACGGGTAACCGGGGCTCCGGCTCGACGTGCAGTAGAAGGAACGGGGTGGTTTTTAGTCAGTAAGAGTCTGACACTCCCTCTCGCCTCACCCAGGCGGGAGCAGTCATTCGATGATTTCCCTCCTTAAAGAAAAAACCATACAATATTATAGTGCAATCGGCCTGGATGCTTACTCTTGAAACCAATCTCAATGTCAATGCAATTTTAATCCAATAATATCTCAACAATAACTTTCTATGTGATCCAAAGATAGTTATTCCGATTCTGGGTGTGTTGTGTATGTGAACTTGTATGTTTGTAAACGCACTCACGACACAGGAGAAAATCCTAGTGTGGGGCAACGTATTAACTCGTCGAGTACCGTCAATATAGACACAATTATAGAACAATAGGTTGCGGTCACCGGTGACCGCTTGGTGTTTGACAGTTTAAATATAAAAAATGAAAAATAAGGATAGGAAGATATTCATATATAGTTTAAACTAATATCTTATCCTTATTTTTCCAGGTCATGGACATTATCCTGCACTGCGTGGACCAATCCCACCTGAAGAGCAAGGGCCTCAACGAGGTGTTCCCGGCCATCTGTAGATACAACCAGGTCTCACACTGCCCCGCCACCAGGAGGATTGCGGGTAAATATATATTATTACAGGAGAAAATCCGAGGCAAGGTTTTATTTAAAAAAAAAAATTTCTTAGTATTCTGCTGTTCCCAGCGTACAAATATTAAAATTAAAATTAAAGGAAGACAAGTGAAAACATGACTCTACAATCAAATCAAAATTTGGATAATATGGACGCTTAATTATTACAATGTAGTAAATTATTTATATAAGACTAGCTTTTACTCGCGGCTTCGCTCGCGTCACAAAAGGATAAAAAGTAGCCTATGTGACATACACCAATGCACACAGCGCCATCTATACCACTACTTTTGTTTTCTCTCGGGAATATCAATTTTTTCCGGGATAAAAAGTATCCTATTATTTAATACAGACTTCTAACTTTACGTCTGCAAAAATTCAAAGAAATCGGTTTAGTAGTTACGGCGTGAAAGCGGAACAAACAAACAAACTCACTTTCCAATTTATAATATTAGTAAGGATTATTCTTAATGATGTATACTGATTTGTATCCCAGTGGGCAGCCACACGGGCCAGCTGGCCATGTACGAGCTCCGCGCCGGGCGCTGCCAGTCGCTGGCGGCCCACAGCGGGCCCGTCACGGCCTGCGCCTTCAGCCCCGACGGACGGTACCTCGTCTCCTACGCCACCGCCGACAACAGGCTGTCGTTCTGGCAGAGTACTGCTGGTGAGTCCTACATATACTTTGTTACTATGTATGTGTCTGAACCCAAATTGTACAACTAAAGGATGAAGGACAAACATGTATAAAAAGACGTAACATAACATAACATAACATCACGCCTTTTATCCCCGAAGGGGTAGGCAGAGATGTACATTGTACATTATGCCACTGTACAATGTAACACCCACTTTTCACTATTTATGTTATGAGTCCCATGTAATAGGGGGTGAGCCGATTGCCATATACCGGGCACAATTCCAGACTCCGTGCTACTACTGGGAATTTTTTGAAAAACCCAGTAATACTTTTCTCGACTCGGGAATCGAACCCGAGACCCCTTGCCGCAGTCGCACTTGCGACCACTCGGACAATGAGGCAGCATGTATAGAAAGAAGAAAGAAAAATAATTTATTCGTCACCAGGCATGAACCATAAATAACATTAAAAAACAAAATTTAAAAATAACAATAAAAACATATCATAATATTAAAAAAAAACAGCAGTAAAAAACAATTAAAGCAAAAAACAATATGAAAAAGCAAAATAAAAGAGCAACAGGGTGTCAGTATGGGAAATTTTGATGTACCCACCGACCAATAACGACCAGATGTATGTCGTTAGAAAGCTCTCTCCATGATTATCATTTGTTACTATGGATTATGTGCTAGTGGCAGGGCAATATGTTATAGTTTTGTTTTTTATAAAAACGTTGCCCCACACTAGGATCTTCTCCTGTGTCGTGGGTGCATTTACAAACATACAATATCACATACACACCACATCCAGACCCGAAACAACAATTTGTGGATCACACAAAGTGTTGTCCCGTGCGGGAATCGAACCCGCGACACGTTGCACGGCAGCCGGTTGCCCAGCCACCGCACCAACCGTGCAGTCAAATATGTTATATAAGATTAATATATGTTATAGTTACTTACTGATAACATTAAAATATGTTATACTTACTTAAATAATATCTATTAAAAGATATAGAGTAATGTTAGGCCCAATTCTCAATTGTGTACTTGCCAACTAGTTAAATTCTGCACATGGGTGAGGATTCGTTGGCTCATAACGCAAGGGATAAGGCTCAACTTTTGGCGAAAATCTTTGCGTCCAACTCGACGCTGGATGACGGTGGGCGTGAGCCTCCTGTTGTGCCTTGGTGCGGAAGGTATATGCCGGATGTGCGGTTCCACCAGCGCACGGTACGTTTGGCGCTTTTATCCCTTGACGTCCATAAGTCGAGCGGGCCTGATGGGATCCCACCCATTGTTTTGAAGATGTGCGCCCCCGAGTTGGCCCCAGTTCTCACACGTCTTTTTCGGCTCTCTTATTCCTCAGGCGTAGTTCCGACGTCCTGGAAGACAGCTTTAGTCCACCCAATCCCTAAAAAAGGTGATCGATCTAACCCGTCTAACTACAGACCGATAGCCATAACTTCCCTCTTCTCGAAAATAATGGAGTCCATTATTAACTGCCAGCTCCTGCGTTACTTAGAGGATCATCAGCTGCTCAGTGACCAGCAATACGGTTTTCGTAAAGGTCGGTCTGCTGGTGATCTCCTTGTTTACCTAACGCATCGGTGGGCACAGGCGATCGAGTCTAAGGGGGAAGCGTTGGCAGTAAGTTTAGACGTGGCGAAGGCCTTCGATCGGGTTTGGCATAGAGCGCTTCTTTCGAAGCTTCCTTCCTACGGACTTCCCGAGAAATTATGCAAATGGGTCTCCTACTTCCTTGCAGACAGAAGCATTAAAGTCGTCGTCGACGGTGAATGCTCTGACTTGATGTCTGTAAATGCAGGCGTCCCTCAAGGCTGCGTGCTATCGCCTACATTGTTCCTCCTCCATATCAATGACATGCTGCAAATCAGCGGCATTCATTGTTATGCGGATGACAGCACAGGCGATGCCTACTACACCGGCCGCGCTAACATTTCTCGGGAAAACGTCATAGAGAGCCGAAACAGACTCGTGTCTGAAATCGAGACCTCTTTAGGGAGAATCTCTGATTGGGGTGGACTTAATTTGGTCCAATTTAACCCCACTAAGACACAAGTCTGCGTGTTTACCGCTAAGAAACTGCCGTTGGTCGTCTCTCCTCAGTTTCAAAGCACCCCCCTAACTGCCTCAGCCGGTATTGGAATACTTGGTGTCAATATTTCGAGCGACGTCCAGTTTTGCGGTCATTTAGAGGATAAGGCCAAATTAGCCTCGAGGAAGCTTGGTGTGCTCAATAGATCGAGGCAGTATTTCACCCCGACCCACCGCCTGCTTCTATATAAGGCACAGGTGCGGCCCCACATGGAATACTGTTCTCATCTTTGGGCGGGGGCACCCCAGTACCAGCTTCTTCCTCTGGACCGCATTCAGCGGCGTGCCGTTCGGATTGTTGGATGTCCGGGTGTTTCAAACCGGCTCGACACTTTGGCAATGCGTAGAGATGTAGCTTCATTGTGCATTTTCTACCGCTTATACCACGGGGAGTGCTCTGAGGAATTGTTTGACCTGATACCTGCCGCATCTTTTCGCCATCGACCCTCACGACAGCATATGCATCCCCATCATATAGATGGTTGGCAGGCCACAACTGTGCGGTTCTCACGTAGCTTCCTGCCTCGCACAGCAAAACTGTGGAATGATCTGTCGTCGGCGGTATTTCCGAACCGATACGACCTTCAAACCTTCAAGAGAAGAGCGTACTCCTTTTTAAAGGGCCGGCAACGCACCTGTGACTCTTCTGGTGTTGCGGGTGTCCATGGGCGGCGCTGATCGCTTACCATCAGGTGATCCGCCTGCTCGTTTGCCTCCTATTCCATAAAAAAAAAAAAAATTCAATACTTTTTTCGAACTGTCAAAAACGACAGTTTTCTATGAATTTTGTACGAAATTGTGTATTGTGACGTCACGTTTTTTAGCGTCAAACAGCGTACTTATTTCTTTAAAAAATGCTGGTAAAAATACTAAAATTAAGTTGGTCATAAAATCAATTAATGAAAGTGTCAAATATTCTAGTTTAGTATTCTTCAGTCAAATATTTGATTGTACTGAACATTCGAAATAATCTATTTTTGACTAAGGAAAGTACCCAATTGGAATAAGATACCTCTCTATAGTTTTTATGCAGAAAAAAACATCGTATTACACATTTGTAGTTAATTTTAAGTTGTAAATATTTATGTAGTTATTTGTCTATTATTGTCTAATTTACACACACTAACTTATACTATTTACACCATCACAAAACCACCTTATGTTGTTTTTTATGGCATCGGCTTATGCCATAAAAAACAACATAAGGTGGTTTTGTAAACGAGCAGTCGAATCACCTGATGGTAAGCAATCGGCGTCGCGCATGGACACCTGGAACATCAGAGGCGTTACAAGTGCGTTACCGGCCTTTTGGGTATTAGGAGTTTGAGGATCGTTGGAAATTCAGGAATTGGGGAGATTGGGGTAGAGGAGGGTAATTTGGCCTCCGGTAACCTCATTCACACGACGAAACACAACGCAAGCGTTGCTTCACGTCGGTTTTCTGTGAGGCCGTAGTATCACTCCGGTCGAGCCGACCCATTTGTGCCGAAGCACGGCTCTCCCACACTTGGACTCGTCGATGTTGTCAAAATTAACTAATAATAATAATATTTTTTCCAGGTATGTTCGGTCTAGGCGCAGCGCAGACCCGTTGCGTAAAATGCTACAGTACAGCTCCAATGGCGGACGTAGCCAGACTCAATCCCGCACGCCTAGCCAGACTCGTCTGGACTAATTCCAGAACTGTCACCCTTATGTTAGCTGACGGCTCGGAAACTAGGTTTAATGTGTAAATATTGTGAATGAAATATTATTTTTTTTTCATGTTAGACAAATAATTTGAATTATTGATCAACAGATTAGTTTCGATTTTTATTATAACTACCGTAAGACACTCACGCAAATATTGAGAAGGTCTACTAGTTGCGAGTCACAGAGGGACTCTTCTTCGTAAGCATCATGCGCTGACGCAGCGACGTCGCACAGTCTACTATGTTTAACTTGAAACTAGTAGGTTTTCTCAATATTTGCGGCATTTTTTGTGGAGGGAAAATTATCCAATGACTTCTTCCGTATTGGGTGAAGCGAGAGGAAGAGTCAGACTCTTACTGACTAAATACCACCCCGTTTCTACCCCTGTATAGTGCCGGAGCCAGGGTTGCAACTTGGAGTGTTTAATTTGTGCCTGGTCTACGGTAAAGATTTATCCCCTATTACGTGGGACTCGTTTACATAACTGTACATTGTGCATCTATTTCGTACATTAAATGGCGTTATGTCTACTCAAGAGCAACTTTCTTCTATTACACAACAACTGTAAATCATACAAATATTTGTATCGCACGGGAAGGGAACTTGCATAGTTATTTGTCTAACATCAAAATAAAATAAACTATTAAGTCATGTATAAAAACTAGTTAAAAAGTATTTAAAAATGTTATCTAAATATTACTACTAATGCGTTAATTAAATCTACCAATTTTTGGTATTTTTTAGCTATGGCAACCGTATTAAAATGGTTTGTTGATCTGGCAACATCACGATAACTGTCAAGATACATTTGAAAATCGAAATATTGGTGTGTATTGTTATTTTGCAGAGAAAATTAATATATTTTGAATATGTGTAATGTAACTATAATAATTATTTTAAATTAACGTTTAGTTTTAGTCTTATTCGGTATTTAGTTGAAATTCATGTAACAACTAAAACAATTTTAAGGCTTTGACTGCCAATAAAAAAATTTTTGAAGGCAAATCCTCAGGTAACTTCAGTCACCGTTGACTCCAATGGCGTTTATGTATTAATGATACTTGGTACCTACTCATACATAGTATATCAAAGTCTAAAAAGTTAGTTACGAACATTTACAAAATACCTTTTTATAATAACTATCGCGAGACATACAAAATTAACTAAAAATCTCGTAAATATTGACAAAAGCTCTACTAGTTTCGAGTCACAGAGGGACTCTTCTTCACGAGCAGCGTGCGCGGGCGTGGTGACGTTGCGCAGCCCACTCTGTTTAACTCAAAACTAGTAGGTTTTCTCAACTCGTCACGCAGCCTACTACAGAAGCATCTCTGTCTCGGAACTAGTAGAGATTTTCTCATTAATGCGGTATTTTAAAAAAAATTTGAGTGAGCTCTTCAAGCAAGCGTGATTTTAAATTTGTATGAAAATTCTCTGTAATCATTTTTTAAATGTAATTTGCTAATTTTATAGAGCTTAATATATTCTGTATGAGCTTTCTTATTTTTTTCCGTCTAGTGTCGAGACACTATTAAAATTTATCGATATATCGACAATAATTGTTAATTTTTTCGATAAATGACGAATGTTATAAGAGTAATGTTAAAATGCTATGTTGTATTAACAAACAACTAATCAATAATAATTAACGTTATTATAGTTTTTCTGTATATTTATCTTAATATTGTTAATTTATTACTATGCTAGAATACTGTGCTAATATGTAAAAACTATGTCTGATTCCATAAAGGTAATATTTACTGAAAATATTACATTTTTGCAAGAAAAATGTGGTGATTTTAGTTTTTATCGGTTGACTGTTTAGCATTAGGTCTCTGATTCAATTCTCAAATTGAGAAAACAAGTATTACTTTCTTAGAGTTATATCTACTTTCTTTATCTAGACACCACTGACAAACGATAAAGGAAAGACATCGTGAGGGAACCTGGGCTTATAATGTTTAATTGTAAGGTTGAAATTATCGACCCTCATTGAGCAAGCGTGATGATTAATGCTCAAACCGTCTCCGTGTGAGAAGAGGCCTTTGGTCAGCAGTGGCTACTAATATGATTTTCAGTTTAGAAGTGCTCAATGATGAACACGAAGCTTGTCATCATCATCATCTAAATAATCAACAGCCTATAAATGCCCACTGCTGAGCAAAGCCTCTTCTCACACGGAGAAGGTTTGAGCATTAATCACCACGCTTGCTCAATGCGGGTTGGTGATTTTAAACTTATAATTAGAAATTATAAGCTCGGGTTTCCTCACGATGTTTTCCTTCACCGATTGTCAGTAGTGTGTAGATAATCTTAGAAAGTACATATAACTCGTAAAAAGTTACATAGGTATTTACCGTTGGTAGGTTTCGAACCCGCACCCTCGTGCATGAGAAGCGGGCGTCTTAAACCTCCGGGCCACCACGACATAGCCACCAGACGAAGCCAGTAGTTATGCCTAATTGTACATTCGGGACTACTATTGAATGGGACTGACACATAGCTGGTGGAAGATGGGTGTTCGCAAACATATTCGCAATATCTACTGTCGTATAAACGCTTTTTCTTTATTTCTTTCTTTTCCTTTCTATTCTTTCTTCTCTATCTTTCTTTCTTCTCTTTCTTTCTTTCCATTCTTTCTTTCTTTTCTTTCTTGCTATCCTATTAATACTATAAATGCGAAGTGTTTGTATGTATGTTTATTACTCAATCACGCGTCAAGACGGCTGAAGGGATTGGTATAAAATTTACACAAAATTTTAAAGGTACACGAGCAGACTGATCACCTGATGGTAAGCAATCGGCGTCGCTCATGGACACCTGGAACACCAGAGGCGTTACAAGTGCGTTACCGGGGATTAGGAGTTTCAGGATCCTTGGGGATTCAGGGATTGGGGAGATTGGGGAAGGGGAGGGTAATTGGGCCTCCGGTAACTTCCCTCACATGACGAAACACAACGCAAGCGTTGTTTCACGTCGGTTTTCTGCTCGGCCGTGGTATCACTCCGGTCGAGCCGGCCCATTCGTGCCGAAGCATGGCTCTCCCACACTTATTAGTCAAGTTATATTTTTTTATTCTAAATTATCTTTATGAATCAGACAGTAGTTTTAAACATATTAAGTATTTATAAGATGTATTATAACCGAGAATATAGAGCTTACAATAATAATTTAATACTATTTCAAATGAATGCACTAAAATAAGTTTATTTGTCTGTCTGTCTGTCTCTCTCCTTGTATGTTGGCGCTTACCTCTGAAATTAGCGGTCGGATTTTGAATATTTTTTTATTATTTCGTAGCTGTTTTCACCAACCATCTCTTAACTAAGAGTTACCTAGCGTGAACTAACCTCTTTATCTTTAAGTGGGTGTATACTAAAATGTCGTTAAGTGCCACCTACGCTTAGGGGTTTCTTAAAATTTATGAGAACTTGGCAAAATGAGCATAAGTGTTCATAATTTATATTTTAGGGCATATATCATCACGCTATAGTACTTAGGTACAGAGTAGGAATTGAAATTATGGAGCAATAACTTTCTTAGAAAGATTTTTTTGTCAAGTCAATTGTGACTGTTGGATAGCGTGGCTGGGGTTCGATTCACAGGTGGAGAGCATTGTTGAGATTGTTAATTTGCGAAATTATTTGTAAAATTTATGTTTAGCAATAGACATACTCCTGAAGGCCTGATGACATGTTCTGTAATATTAGAATTGCTTGCTTTAATCGCTGAATGTGATCATAGATGATTTATAATATAAAAATGCTGCAACCGATTTCGATAATTGTTTTTTGTTATTGTTAAGAAGGTCCCTATGTAAAACAAAACTAATAAATACGCGCAGAAAATGTTACAAGGCGAAACAAAGTCCCGCGTTCCACTAGTTTTACACAAAAATGTCATCATGAATGGCGAATTATAATCAATTAGTCAGTGTGCTTCTCTGTCTACCCCTTTGATGTTATGATGTAGTATAATGTGCCTTTTCAAATAACACCATATTCGCAGATATTTTTCTTGGCACTGAAAATGCATAACTGTGTTTCATTCAGAGCCCATAATACGAGCGTGTTCGGCGCTGTGATTGGCCGGCGCCAATGAACCAACCATGCGCATTTGAGGGTCAATCTATACTGGTTTTTCATAGTTTCAAATGTAGCCGTGAGTACATCTGCCTACCACTTCAGGCACAAAGCGTCTTATTATACTACCTATCACTAAAATATAATAATAATATTAAGTAACTTGTAAATTATTAAATGTTATTGACGTATGTATATTAATTATCGTTAAAATTAACCCCACGCTGTTATTATTGTATTTAAATGTTAATACACATAAATTAAATTATTCCAAAGTTATTTGTATGAGGTTGTATGTTTTCATAACGTATTTGGTGAGAAATTGGTGTTACATTTTGTATATGTGGACCTCTGTCTACCCCTTTGGGGATTAAACTAATGGGGGCTACCGTTTTTTAATTCACGAGATGTCGCTAGTGTGATAAGTAATAAGGCGGTTCAAGTATGGGAGAGCCATGCTTCGGCACGAATGGGCCGGCTCGACCGGAGTGATACCACGGCTGAGCAGAAAACTGATGTGAACCTACGGTTGCGTTTTGTCCCCCCCCCCCCCACTTCTCCAATCTCTCCTATCCCTGAATCCCCAACGATCATCAAACTCCTAATCCCCAAAAGGCCGGTAACACACTTGTAACGCCTCTGGTGTTCCAGGTGTCCATGGACGACGCCGATTGCTTACCATCAGGGGATCTGTCTGCTCGTTTACCGGCTTATGACATAAAACAAAGGCATTAGCTAGTCACACCATACGTTCAATATTTGACAGCAGCTGTAATTTGACAAAAAATATTCACATTTGCGACATCAGGCTGCGTAGATACTCTTAAAACTAATCTCAATGTCAATGCAGGCGAATCGAAAACGACAGTTTTCTATGAATTTTGTACGAGATTGTGTATTGTGACGTCACGTTTTTTTAGCGACAAACAGCATAGCTATTTTTAAAAATTGCTGGAAAAGTAGTAAAATTAAGTCGGTCATAAAATCAATTAATGAAAGTGTGATTATTTTTTTAATATTTTATTGTATTGAATAGTCGAAATTATTTATTTTTGTTTACGGAAATTACCCAATTTCAATTCGATATCAATAATTATTCAATGTCAACACTATATAACCCCTATCGTATTAAAATAGCATTCAGAGTACGGAATATAAAGCCAAACTCAATACCATTTAGTTCGTTCAATATCCACGCAATACAGATGCAATGGGCGCTAGGGTTGCAACTCAAGAGTACGAAATTTCACAATACCAATGTCGATCGATCGGAATTGGATTCAAGAGTAAGCCCCCAGGTCAACATAAATACGATAGCCCCCATTATTATGTTATGAAATTAGAATCTGTTATGAACAGTCAACTATAGCTGTGTGCATTTAATTCTGTTTAAAATTTCACTAAATATTGAGTTTTTCTTTCAACATTACTGCTAAGTTTATGGGAATTTCAAGATTCCTTCTTTTAATTTGTGTTTTTTTTTATTATATGTTTGTAAATGCACCCACGACAGTCATAAAAAAATATCCGTATATCGAAATAATATGTTAAAAGAAAAACGAATGTTTCGTGAATTTTAAATATAATAGCTAAATGTGATGTTATGTACGGAATATAATTATGAGCTATGAAGTATTATTTCATTAAAAATTGTTATTATTTGTATTGTAAGTATTTGTAATCGATGTTTATCAATAAATATGTTATCTTCCAATGATTTTGTTTTATTTTCTTACAAACTTCTATTGAATTTATAATTTACTAGCGGACCCGACAGACGTTGTCCTGCATATCCACTTGAATGTATAAACAAAAATTCATTCAAATTAGTTCAGCTGTTTAGGATAAATAACCTAAACATTGGCTGCAACGCCATCTGCCGGGCTGATTTGTGAATCTAAACCATTCCCAGATCCCCTTGAACACACACAAAAAATTTCATCAAAATCGGTCCAGTCGTTTGAGAGAAGTTCAGTGACATACACACTCACAGAAGAATTATATATATAAAGATTTATATATCGACTACATTGGCGACATATTAAAGAAGGGCTTAATTAAAAGTACCCTTAACCGACGAGCATGCATGAAAAGATTGATGACTGTTGATGAAAGCGAAAGAGGTGTCTAGGAATCGTTGCAATTGGCGTTCCATAGTCTCTGCCAGGGAGACGGCCGTGATTCAATGTATAAATAATAATAAATAAATAAAATTTTTATTCATATTAACACTGGTCAACATAGGTACAAAAATATATCTTAATTAAGCGACAAGATCTTAAAAATATTATGCCTATACTAGGAATATTCCTGTGTCACAGGCGATAGTAGCTCTAAAAATATGTTAATGTAAGATAACTTATTTATAGTATATTTAAAATATTTAACACAATTTGCAGAAGTAAGGTTGGATTTTTTAATATACTACACTACATACATACATACATACATATAATATCACGCTTTTTATTCCCTGAAGGAGAATAAAAAGTTGAACCTACATAATACATTAATATAAAATTAAATAAATATCGTAAGCTATATTCATATATAAACTAGATAATATTACATGTTACTATGCTATCAATT